ACAGCACTGAAGTATACTCTTCCTGTAATTGTCTATATACTACCACCACCATTATTGGCAAACATGGGTGGTTCCTAACTAATATCTTTTCTCATGTGACACGGTGGAAAAGCTGTCTTTACCTAAGTCTTCTTTCTTAGATACAGAAGAAATGGTGACTTTCCACCCTATGTATTTTTACAATAAACAACTGTTATTACTATCAAATGCTAAATCAGCCAGTAGAAAAACAAGCAAAACTACCAGTTTATTCCTACGAAATATACAAAATTAAGATGTAAACAAATGAACGGCTCTAGAAGAACCTACACTCACTGAACATATAGTGTGAGCTTTATTACAGCTTCCCAGCATGAGTCTCACAGAAACCCTGTGAAGAGGTCAGGTCTCCATTTAAGCATGAGGGAAAACAGAGATTAACAAAATTGAGTATCTTGCCTAAGGTCATTTAGCTAGTAAGTGGTTGTTGTTGTTAAGTACCTTGGAGTGGGTTCTGACTCATAGCGACCCTGTACAGGGTTTCCAAGGCTGTAAATCTTTATGGCAGCAAAAAGCCTCATCTTTCTCCCACAGACCCGCTGGTAGTTTCGTACTGCCAACCTTGAGGTTAGCAGCCCGATTTGTAACCACTACGCTACCAGAGCTCCTTAGTAAGTGGTAGAGATAGGATTAAAAGCAAAATGCTGTTTTAGCTGCCCTTGAGTCCTTTCCAAATCCCGATGACCCAAGTGTGAGAAGGAAACACTGGCCAGTTCTGTGCCATTTTTACATCAGATAAGCTGAGTCCTTTGTGGCAGCCATTGTGTATGCTGAGTGCCTTTCATACAAGGCGCCTCAGGCTCTGGCCTATGTTGGACAGTGTTCTGTTGTGATCCCTAAGGGTTCACTGGCTTGTTACATCATCTAGTCAAACCCACCAGCGGCTCCTCGAAAACCCTAGCCAGGGCCGCTGTGAGTTGGAACCAGCTTGATGGCACTAACAACAAATCTATCTTAATCTGCAGAGCCACTGAAATGTGTCCATCATGGATAACCAGTGACATCATTTCTAGCATGACATCAGCAAACAAACCACCACAGTGCAACAAATGGACAGATGGTAGACAACCGAATGAAATTCATACATTTTAGTTTAAGAAATGAACAAAGACAACACAGTGACCCCGACCCTCTTTCCCAAACAGAAGAAAGCCACCATAAAACCACAGAATTGGGTCATTTTGTGGCAAGACAGAATCTTAATGATCTGATTCAATGCCTTGTTTTTCAGATGAGAAGCCAGGTTAGAGGTCAGAGGTTCCATTCTTCCCTAAAAGGTCAAACAATCTCCGAATCTATCTGTGCTGACTGCATCCTAGCATTATCCTAAACAAAAACCCTAGAAAGATGTTAAGTGTTATCCAGTCATTTTTGACTCAGAGCAATCCTCTATAGAATCCATTTACGGGGTTTTCTGGAGTCCTGGTGTGGCACTGTGGGTTAATGCGCTGGACTGCAAGGTCACTTTGAAACGCAAGGTCAGAGGTTCAAGCTCACCAGTCGCTCCTTGAAAACGCTATACAGGGTTATTATGGGTCAGAACCGACTCGATGGCAGTTAACATAGGGTTTCCGAGGAGCAGCTGGTGGGTTTCAACTGCTGACCTTGTGGTTCTCAGTCTGGAGCTAATCCACAGTGCCACACGAGGCCCCTTTTAAGTTAGTCTCTCGGCTCATGTTCTTCTCCCACACACCAACACATGAAGCGGACCACATGATATACTGCCAAGTTCTCCTGTTGGGCCCAGTTCTCCCATTTTCAGGCAGTTTTATATAGAAGTGTGGAAATTTTCTCTGCCTTTATTTCTAATCCTTATGCCATTCTTAAAATCCAAAATGAAGTTTACATACAAGCAGCCAATGGTTTAAACTACTTACTTTAGATAAAGTAAAGGGCAAAGAGTAGTATGGACATGGAGATGAATTTTCATTTCTAATTTCTCAGAATTACCTTTTAGACATTTCTTACTTGTGTAAAGACAAATTTAAAACGGATTCTATCACTGCCTGCTTATATCACAAAAAATAAATTTTTGCTCTTAAAGCAAAAATATATTTTTTAAATCGCAGAATTACTGATTTATGAACCCTGCATAATTTGAACAGAAAACAGACCTTCACTGAAATGGTACCAAATGCATTGTTCCTTTGTCCTTGAATAGCTACGACAGATAGTGTCATCAACATCCAGTGATGGGCAATATTCCATTCTCCTTAAGAGATAGTCCCTGTTCCTCTGAATCTGTGAACATAAATGTTGATCCAACCAATCATATAACAACCTCTCCATGCCAACAAAGCCTAATCAGGTCTATAAGCAAGTAGTAAAATGATGTAACATATGTCAATTACTGCAAGTATCTGTTGAGCTATTACTAAGAGGAGTTACATGCATAAAAAGCATCTTTTGATATTACTAATTCATTCTTATTTGAATGTTTCATAGGATTTTAACTGTATTTCAAAATCAAATTTTACATACAAGTCACCTGCCAAAATTTCATGTGTTTCCACACTTTTAAATAAAATGAATCCAAATTCTATTAAATGATGAAAAAGCTCACCAGTATATAATATGCTGACACAACTTTATTTTCAAAGTTTCTTTTCAAAAGTTTCTATGATTCCCATCTTAGGCATTGAAGAACTTCATCATAAACTGTCAAAGATGAAATGGCTAGGGTTTCAATTCACTATTTTCTTTTCAAAGGAAATGCAATTACTACGAAGTTATCTCTTTTAAACCCAAGCGCTGTAATTTTCAAATTGACCAGACACAGGTTTTCTTAGGCCCCTTTCAGATCTTGAGGGCACTGCAGTCAGCATTTGCCCTCTAGTCCTTCAGTTTCACTGGTCATTTTGAGCTTTTTAAGATGCAGCCCAACAGCTTAACCAGTGAGCTCTAAATTCCACTCACCTATCAATCTCCTGCCAATTTCACATTAGACACAGTAAACATTCTCAAAGCTAAATCTTTGTCCTGCAAGGCCTTAGGCAGGCCTTGGGAGTTTAGGAATGCCCCATAGTGGAGAGGGTCTGTTGCTGAGGTCCTGGGGCAGATGAGCACTGATACAATCTGAGGTTGTTCATTCTATCATTTGTCCCTGACATTGCTCCCAGAGCAGGAGATCCCTCAGGCTTGCTCCTTAGGGGCACTGGGGCCTTAGAATTCTCCTGTTTCGCATTTCAATACTTTTTACAGTCTTATGGGTCCAACCAAGAGGGACATCCTTGCTCACTTGGTTTTCTCATACCCAGTGGAGGAAACCATTCTGCAAACCCAGCCAAGCAGCATCCTGTTTTTCACTTGGGCACTTCTAGGAGGTGAAGACTCGTTCCACTCAGACAGGCATCCCAACCCAGGGTGACAAAAGGTCTTTGAGTGGAAATCAATTTCTATAATGTCCATCCTTTGATCCTAGGGCTACTTATTGGAATTATACAAAGAATAAAGCGCTTCACCTCTCATTTCAGTAAATATAGGAAGATTCAGATTTTTGTGGGTTCTCAGAACTTTAAGGACACAAGGGAAATTCAGAGATTCTTTCAATCCCCAGTATCATCAGCCCAGAGAGGTGACGTGACTTGTCCAGGCCACACAACTTGTTAGAATTGAACTCCTCTCTGCTCCGTCACTTCCCTTATTGGCTGAATAATGCAGTCAATTTCCTTTAAATTTATACTCAAACCACTAGCACCCTACCTTTCCAACCCTTCCACTTCCCCTCAGAGTTCACAAATTAAATGATCTCAACTTTATCTGGAATTATAAGTGGAAATGACCGCAGTTGTGTCAACACTGTAATATGGAAACACTTGTATATCAACATTTTAAAGGCTTTATTGAAAGTTGACAAGTGCAACAGTTAAATACAGTGAGAACATGCACAGAAACATATGCATATAACTACTATACAGGTAATATGCAGGAACCTCTATTGGGAAATTCACTTCTTTAAGCTAAAACTTATCTTTTTTTTTTTTTTTTTTTTTTTCCAGAGTATTCAACCAGCTCAATCAAAAGACTTCAGACAACAAGGATTTACTTCAGGATATTCAGCAGCTAGTAAGATTTCAGATTACACAAAGAGACTAACTGTGCCAAATCTGTCCATTTCTTTTAGGTGCGGTTTTCTTCAGTTAGCGTTTTCCATGTCATCTAGGTAAAAAAGACAAGCCACACCTCTTCAGACAGCCACTGAAACATTGAAATGTCCATCTGTACACCCTAAATAGGAGTTACAGTCCTCTATTGTACAAAATAGTTATACTAAATACACAAATATACAATAAAAGCAAAACCACCTTCAGGATCCAGATAGCTTCGGTCCCAGCTACCTGTCACCATTCGGTCAGTCTACGAGTTGTGTGTTATTCACTGTTTCAGAAAGAGGCACAGCACTATTGTTGATGGATTTGGGTGACAACAGTCAATTCGTACAATGAGCTAGGTTTCCTCTCGGTATAGACGAGACTACAGTCTTTACTCGCACCTCCCTTTCAGTTCCTCTTGGGGGGAGGAGAGAGGACCGTCCCCCGTGACACCCACTGCTTCGGGCACCCCTGGCTGAGCTCCATGCCCGCAGGGGTGGGGGTAGGGGCGGGCAGGGGTGGCAAGGCACAGGCTCCTCAGCAGGAACGAAACCATTTCTTGGGTGTGTGCCAAGCTGCATGAGGTCCCGGGACATCCATGCGAATTCTCTCCGTAACCTTTAATTCACTCAACTAAGAAACTTCTTCAAGCCAAAAGCAAATGAGTGCTTTAATACTGGAAAAGAACAAAACAAAAAACCACACACAGAAAGAGAGAGAATGGCATCTGTCAGTCTCACGTCTCTTTTGCAGCGAGCAATGAAATGGGGGACTGTGGAGGCGGCTGCCCGCTCGGACATCTTCTCCCTTCTCCCGTCGGCTCCGTGGCGCTCCCTCGGCGGCGCCTGCAGTTCTGCGTGGGCCCAGGAACTACGCGGTGGGGCCCGAGCCCTGGGAGGCTGGCTGGGCCGGGGGCTGCGTGGTCCCCTGGGGCTGCGCGGTGGCCGGGGGCGAGCCAGTCTGCAGCTGGGCCTGAAACTGGGCGAGCTGCTCCGGGCTGGCCAGCGTCTTCAGCAGATTGTTCTCCTGCTCCAGCTGGGAATTTTTCTCAATTAGTTCTTTGATTTGCTCTTTGAGGACCTCCACCTCCTCTCTAACCGCATACATCAAATGGCTTTTTACCAGATCCTGAAAAGAGCGATTGGGGGTTAAAAAGGCTTTACTTAATCGACTGACCGTTTTCCTGACTCTAGATTTCTAACGCAGGCTCTCCCTAACCACTTACATATCCTGCCTGGACCATACCAGGGTTAATCTGAATGCAAACGCCAACGGTATTGCACTTAAGTTTACTGTAGAGGAGTCTAGCCTTCCCCTCTGACGGTGCACAGCAATGCAGACAGTCGCGTTGGCTGTGCTAGATGGCCCTAAGTGGCGGGGCCTTTACCCACCCGGGCCCTGGCACGAGCGTGGTCAGTCCGGCTCCAGCGGCTGCGGCGCTCGTCGCCGCGGCCCCGCCCCCCGCCCCGCCCCTCCCTCCCGGAGCCACCTCCCTCCGCACCAGCTGCAGCCAGTTCCTAAGGAGCAAGTTGCCGCATTTTCCTCCCTCCACCCCCACAGTCCTTTCGTGATTAAGCTGACATCACAGAAACCTGGGCAGACCTCGTAGCCAATGGGAGCCCGAGTTATTTATAGCTCCGAATTAAAGGTTCGGAGTTTGCCTAGCAACAGTGGGCAGAGAATCCCGTGAGAAGAGCCACAGGCGCTGCTCCAATAACAAAGAACAGCCAAGGCGGAAATAAAAAAATAGGAGAAATCCAGGCAGAGGCTGAGAAAACAAAACTTTTCTCCGATTCTCCTACGTTGTGCAGTCGCCTACAGCACTGAGGGGCTTGTTTCAAGGATCCCCTTCCCCCGCGATCCCCACACTTCTGGGTCGCCCCTCCACCCACCCCCAAAGCACAGAGTTAAGCTCTCGGATTCCCAGTACAGCCACATTGCTGAAGACGTGCCCACGATCGGAGGAGGCGTACGGCCATGATTCCCACCCAGTACCCTAGTCAAAGGGGACAGCTCTTCAAAACCAACGCCGTCCAGAGTCATCATTACAGAGAACACTCAATATCCTCAGGGCCCCTTTCTCCTTCCAGAGCAGCCATGGGATGTGGCTTTTCGGCTGGTAAAATGGAGCCTGTGCCGGCATTTCTAAATGGAGAGCAATCCATATATCATCTAATTTAGGGATGCACTGGTTCCAACCCAAGCCATCTCGCTTTCAGTGCTCTGCTCCCATTTAGCACGAAGGATCTGAAAATCAGTACATACCATAGCTTGCTCGATTTTGTTGTCAATAGCTACCACACTTGCACCAGAGGAGCTGGAAAAGAGGGAAAAGATCATCGGTAAATGGAATTTCTCTTAAACATCCAAGATTTTCAAATAGGATCTCCCGATGCTGTGATGTTATTGGCATTTTGGGAACATTCTTGAACAATATGTAAGTAATGGATCAGAATACCAGTGACTAACGACTATCCCGACATTTTCCTATTTTAGTGAGCCACAAAGGGCTAAATTACATAATGTGGTAAATGCCCAGAGCTGCGAAAAGAGGGCTGTTTTGAACATTTCAAAAAGCAACATCCATGTTACCGTAGGCTCTCTGCAACGGACAAAGGAATTCCCCTGGCTATCCTTCACCTGCATTATTACAAATTCTCACTAGCAAATTTAAAAAACACTGTCCCAGCCGACATTTACCTATTGTCAAGTCTCACAGATGCGTTTTCAGTCCCCAGCAAGGATGACAAGAAAGAAATTGAAAAATGCCTCAGTTGGTAAACTCCTAGATCCATCGCCTCTGGTCTACACCATTGGGATTTCATGCAATTGCAGCCAAAAAAACACCCTCGCGGGAAAGGGGGTGAAAAAAGGGGAACACCTGCAGCCTTGTTTGCGCTAGATAAAATCGTCTAGCTTTCTGCAGACCAGAAACAAATAGAAATCAGCAGCCTTAATTTAAGGCAACCCGACTTCTGGGGCTTGGTGATCCCGGAGAGATGCGGAGCCCACAGTAGCGTGGAGTAGCCTGGCAGGTCTGCAGCCCAGCTCACTCGGCTCTAGACCTGGTCTCCGGGTGTTAGTGCAAAATATATGCAGGGAGGAGCCGCGCCGATTGGCCAGCACGCCACTGTGCCCACCCCTTCTCTGTTCCCCGCCCTCCTCCCGCTTACCCGCCTCCCCGCCCCCATCTCCCGATCCCGCTCTTCGGGTGGGCTGGCCCAGGCCGCGCTCGGAAGGGTCGGCTGCTGGGCCGCCCAGATCTCCCGCGATCCCTCCGAACGCCTGATGACTACTTCGGCACAAAACATAGAGGGTCTCTGAAAAAATTCGATCGGGGCCTCGCACGTGCTTACGTTTACGGGAGTCAGACCCCTTCGCCGGAGCTGCCTGTCCCCGCGGCTGGCGAACGGCGAGCGCTTCCTATTTGCAACCAGAACCGTCTGCGCTACTGGGCATGCTCAGTCCCACCACTGAAGACTTGCGGGAGCTCTAGTGTCTCAATTTCAATCATCTGGCTCTTACAGGCGGCAGTAATGGGAGGGTTTTACAGCAGGACTGACTTAGAAAACAACCACCATACTGTTCAGTAACAATACGTTTTTTCTTACATATTTTTCACACCAGCGGGCTTTACTTAGAAAAGCAGATTTGTATTTGATAGATAATAGCTTTTCATGAATTTGGCAATTTACTTGTAGAAACAAAACAAGAAACATCACATATTCTTTGCTTGTGTTAAGTGCCATTGAGTTGGTTCTGGTTCTGACTCACAGCGATCCTGTACAGGGTTTCCAAGAAGTGGCTGGTGGGTTGAGCTGCCAACCTTGCGGTTAGCAGTCCAGTGCTTATCCTTAAGCACCATACCAAGAATTGAGTCAAAAAGGGATCCACACGATGAAATCAGGTCCCCAAACTGTCCCCAGTGCTAGCAACATTAAAATTGCACCCCTCTATCAGTGTGTCTCTGGTAGGATAAGCTTGTTGCTAAGTGGCTAAGTGCCTTCAAGTCGGTTATGACTCATCGTGACCCTATGCAGGGTAGCAGCTGGGGAGTTTGAACCACCGACTTTGCAGTTCAAACCGACCTTGCGATCCAGTGCTTTATCCCACAACGCCACACCAGGACCCCACTGACTACACTAATCACAAGGTCGACAGTTCAAAACCAGCAGCCACTCCTCGGAAACCCCATACAGGGTCGCTATGATTCAGAACCCATTCTATGGTACTTATCAACAACCATCAGTTGAGGGTTCTGGTGTGGTGCTGTAGGATAAGTACTGCACTGCTAACAGCCAGGTCGATGGTTCAAACCCATCAGACACTCTTATGGGTCGCTATGAGTCAGAACTAACTAGATGTCACTTAACAACAAAACAACTATCAGTGGAGTCCTGGTGTGGCACTGTAGAATAAGCACTGGACTGGTAACCAACAAGTCAGCAATTTCAATGCTCTCAGAAACCCTATACAGGGTCGCTATGAGTGAGGCGCATAACAGCAACTCTTAGAACCTTCTCAACAGTAATCAAATAGGATTTTCCCCCATCCATAGAAAAGTCAATTCCATAGACTGAATCCTACCATAGATCTATTTTCAGTAAATTCTGAAGTCTTACTAAAACTCTACTTCTTATATTGTTGTTCAGTGTCGTCGAGTCCATTTCGACTCATAGTGACCCTGTATAGAGTTTCCGAGGAGTGGCTGGTGAGTTTGAACCGCTGACCTTGGAGTTCAAAGTTTACATAATGTAAACTGTGTATTCAAAGGACACAAATTCTTAAAGTTAGACTTTACCCATTCCTAGTGTCCAGGACCAGAGAAAAGGAATGTGATGGTGGGTAAAAATAGTTTCTCTGTGGATAATCACTGAGCTTCTGGGCAGTTCAAACCCACCAACGGCTCCTCAGAATTCCTATACAGGGTCACTAAGAGTTGGAACTGGCTCAATGGCACTTAAAAACAACCAAAGTCAAGAGATCAGAGGGAATGACAAATAGCTTAACTCCTTATAGAATTTCTTTTATTAATCTAAAATATTTGCAAGGATGCTTTAATTACGGTCATACTTCAAAATACTATAAATCTAAGGCCTAAAGTTTGCTCGATTATAAGTTAATAAACCATTTCCAATCTAATACTTGTAAGCAAGCATATTTAACCTCTACAATACTGCCCTCTAATGGTCAAATACTATAAAAGCAAATATCTACAAAGTACTAGGGGAAACCTGTAATCCACTCCAATGCATGCCATCACAAGTAATTCCAATGTAAAATTTGATCATAGAATATATGCAGCGGCTTGCTTCAAAAGTTACTGGAAAAATTCCATTATATCAGCCTTGTTGTTGTTGCTAAGTGCCGTCTAGTGGGTTCAGTTCCAACTCATATTGACCCTGTATAGGGTATCTGAGGAGCAGCTAGAGAGTTTGAACCACCATTCTTGTGGTTCAAATCGACCTTGCAGTCCAGTGCTTATCCTATACCAGTACCCCAGGACTCCATTATATAGCATACTTCATATAATATCATGCTCTTCCTCTTTCTCTCAGCATTCTTTCAAAAAATTGTCATCAGAGTCTTTTTTGCACATTCTTCTAAATTGACCCAATGCTGGCAGGGGTGCATCTGGCTTTAGAAACTGTCCAAAGTGCTAATGGACCCAAACTGGTGAATGTGATAGATGATACAATCCTCTCTTGGATCAAAAACACAAAGTGTGATGGACTATAAGACTATAAAAGCGTAACATTACTTTTTATTTTAGGGTTCATATTATTCCCCAAAACATCAGGCTTTGCTTTTAAGTAACAAGTAAGATTTGTCAGCATATTTTTAACTTACCAAAAAAATTTTAAACATAGTCTCGCATAAGATACAAGTTTCTTGAAAGAATGTGCTCATTTTAAGAAGGGACACAGACATCTAGTAAGTTACTGTGGTTAAGTACTGTTGAGTTGGTTCTGACTCTGTATAGGGTTTTCAAGGAGGGGCTGGTGGGTTTGAACTGCGGACCTTCACGCTAGCAGTCCAGTGCTTAGAAGCTTAAAAATCATTATCTTAGTTATGTAGTACTGTTATAACAGAAATATTTCAAGTAGATGGTTTTACCAAACACATTTATTTTCTCACAATTCAGGAGACCAGAAGGCTGAATTCAGGGTGGGTGTCAGTTCTACGAGAAGGCTTTCTTTCCCTGTGGGCTCTGAACAAAAGTCCTTATCTCTACAGCCTCTGCTTCCTTGAAGATTTCCATGTGTGTTGGCATCAATCTTTCCCTGGGTCTAGGAGGTTCTTGGAGTCCTGGTGTGGTGCTGTGGGTTAAGGCACTGGATTGCAAAGTCAGTTTGAACCACAAGATCAGCAGTTAGAGCTCACCAGTCACTCCTCGGAAACCCTATACAGGGTCGCTATGTACAGGGTCACTGTGGGTGGGAACTGACTCACAACACTTAACAACAACAACAACAGGAGGCTCTCAGTTTAGGGATTCCAGGATCAAAGGACTTGTTGCTCCTGACACTGTTCTCCTCTGCTTCTGTTTCTCTCCTTTTATCTCTTGTAAAATAAAGGTAAGTTAAGTAAGAGTGTGTCTTGACTTGACTAAGGATGTGACTTGAGTAAGGGTAGGAAGGGTGTGACTTGAGTCACGCCCTCTGGTAAGGCTGTGACTCAAGACCCACTCCATGCCTTATTAATGTATGTCATTATTGTTAGCTGCCATCAAGTACAAGTTGAGCTCTGACTCATGGAGACCCCATGTGCGGCAGAGTGAACCACGAGCCAGTCCTGTACCATGCTCAGACATGCTGTTTAAGCCCACTATTGTGGCCAGTGTGTCAGTCCATCTTACTGAGCATCCACCAAGCATAGGTACCCCTTCGTCAGGGACTGGTCTCTCCTGACATCCTCACTTCTAAGGAGCATTCTGGCTGTACTTCTAAGATAAATTTGTTCATTTTTCTGGTGGTCCATGGTGCCTTGTTGTTTTTGTTAAGTGCTGTTGAGTCGGTTCTGACTCACAGCGATCCTGTATAATGTTTCTGAGGAGGGGCTGGGCCTGGTGGGTTTGAAACTTTGCCTTTGTGATTACCAGTTCAATGCTTATTTACCCTACAGCGCCAGACCCAAGACTCCATGGCACCTTACGGAACCTTAACTTCAAATGCCACCTTGACTACCTCACATAATTCTGAGACAACATGTTGTTTCTGCAACATTGGATCTTTGGTCTATTGAAAAGCAACGGGACAATTCAATGTTTTTATCATATCTAGGGGAGAAAGACACCTCGAGTGATTTTTAACATTG